AAAACGTGGATAGAAAGCCTGAATATTATCATTTAAATCCTGCAGCTAATGTGTCTGAACAGCACACATTTACACTCCAACAGGCCTCCGTAATAAAGCCTTTGTTCAGTATGTTTGGCAGCTGAACGACTCGGCATTAGAAAAATACAGGCTGCATCACAGTTTGTCTTTAATGGCTGTATATACTACTTTAAAGTGACACACACAGTGTTAATATTGTTGGAAAGCAAAGTCAGTGTAGAAATGTGGGCAAGAGGGATTGAAAAGCGTCTCTTTTTTGAAGTTATATTCTCAACACTATACCAAATGCTATTTGTCATGCATTTGCAGCGAGGCAGCCGGCTCACAATGAATCCAGTCCCATCAAAATACATCAATCTGCTGTAGTGCGAGCTACTAAACAGCCCCGGATCCAGGCAGCCAGACACAACACCTTCTGGAGACCGGGGATGTGCGGTGACAAAGCATGAGCTGGGTTGGACATTTTTGCAGGGAGCATGAACACAACACACAGGTCAGAGTTCTCCGGATTAAAACCCCTCCTGCGCCAACACAGAGATAAGAAGACAGCTTTTTCTAAAGTGAAGTGCTATTGTCAGTCTGCACACAAGCAGCCAAGTTGTATCCAGTTTCTTACCCAGGCCTGTCTTTGGGGACGGGATGATCAGCAGTTTAGAAAAGGCCAAGAGGCAGAGTTAATTTCTACGCTGCACCAGAAAAGCAGAGGGCCAAGAGCGCGGCCTTGAAGTATACATGTGTGAATTTTGATGCGGTATTGCCATAGAAAACACAAGACAGAGCCCAAAGTGATCCTCCAGCTGCTCTAAAGTGACTGGTGTGGTCAAAACTCGCACTGAGATCCAGCAACAGAAACGCAAAGGTGGAGTCGGACTCCTGCAATCAGTGACAGGCCCTGAAAACTGACAGGAAATGAAAGGACTACTGTTGAAAATTGCTGGGTAGCACTTTTTTTTTTCTAGTCCATTTGAGAGGAATAAAAGCTTTAAGGCTGATTACTATTCAGACACATTAGATGAAAGCGTTGTTATTAAGTGGAGCTCTAACCACAGCGGCCATAAAGCTGGTGGGAGGAGAATTAGCTGTTAAATCACATCCAGGAAAACCAGGTTTCCAACTTTAACGCTGATGTTGTTTCTGTTCCTGGGTTTTGGTCACAGTCCAGAAAGCTCACCGCCTCCGTCGCTGCCAGTGCAGAGGCAACCAGTCCAGTTAAACAGGAACGAGGATGTGAGGAATGCAGAGGGAGGAATATGTGAAGTGCTTGGACCTCTGCCTATCAAACACTCACGGATATTCACAGGTGGATCCTTGTTTCAGAGAAAGTTACAGAAATCTAACGGTATACGCTGAGGCCTTGCTCAAACATCGGAGAGAAGAAGCTCTCAGTTTGTCTGCACTTTGTTTGAAGTACGTTCATATGGGACTTCACTGTAAACTGTCTTCTCTGCTCTGTTTCTTTTATCACAGAGTCTGACTGTCTGAAGCTCGCAGACAGCCGACCTTTCCATTTCTACTTTTATATCCTCCCATGACATTCTCCTCTCGCTGTGAATCTGCCGAGCCTCTCGCAGCACTTAACTCCCATCAAGGCCCGCTCCACCTTTTTCCTTCGCCGCTGCCGTTTTGCGTCTCAAAATAGATCCCTTTCTCTGTGTTTTAACGTCGTTTTAACCGCCCTCTCCTGCGGCTGTTCTCTCTGGAGCGCCTCTAAGCTCCGTCATCGCTTTCCTCTGGGATAGCTGGCGATGGCACCCTTTGCCTCGCATCGGTTTTAATATGCGCTAGCCTGGAGCCACAGAGAATCATTTACTCTGCCATCGATCATCATCCGTCACTCAGTGTCTCCTGGTAATGGTCAACAAACACCAATAAACACGAGGACGGGCCTTCACTTTGAAGCACAAGACAGAAGGGCAGGCAGTAAAGCAGATGAACAGACGAGCGGGCGATAACAGAAAACTGGAACAAAAACAGAAGCTGATCATCTATTAAACATGAGGAGAAAATCCCTCCTGCTTTCATCCCATTGCTTTTCCAGGATAATGGCTCAATTCCTTCTCTACGTATGATGAATAAATGATGACAGCAGTCTTCCTCCTCCAACAGCAGATCAAAAAAATAAAGTAAGGGCAGCTTTAAAAGTGAACCACATGAAGAACGTCCCCTAATTCACAAAAACCAGCAAATATTTGACTTCCACTGACTGTAACAGTGACTGACTGTAACTCTCAAAGACAGGCATGTATGGAAATACCTGCCCAGAGTAAGATGGGCCGCTGCTTCTGAGCATCTTACAAAGGACAAGATCACAGTTCTATATGTTCTGGAAGAGGTTGGCGCAGGATGAGCAGCCCGACACAGAGAGACACACCAGAGACTCAGATGACTTGGGTTGAAATAAGGTTTACTGAATTCAGGAGAAGTGACACCAACAGAACAGCAGTTCAATGCCAGCATCAGTTCCACAGATCCCTCTCACACCTGTAGTCTTATGTCCTCCTTTAGTGGGAGCCACATCCAGATTGTATGGGAGAAAGGGAAACAAAGATCAGCCTGGTATCATCTGGCCTTGAGAGGTTCAGGCTGTCCTGCCTGTCCTCCTACAATGAGGTCAAGAATCTATAGAGGCTACAGGGCGCACATCTGCTACAAGCACTACGTTTACCTCAGGAGGTCAATAAAGGTTCTGTAAAAGACTAACTCCAAACCAGGAAAGTCATTTTTCCTTCACACCACACATTGATATGAACTTCCTCTAATGTGGTCAAGCACAAACTGTCATGTGGATGAGGAGCCATGCCTCAAAATGTTTAAAAACTGCACTTAAGTTAAATCAAAATCGTAATAAATCCAATGATGTAACAACCTGCCCAATAAATACCCATCACATTACCCAATAATGTGATAAATATCCTGGCTGATGGTGTGATACTTTTATCTCATACTGATTATGTAATGCTTTTGGCAGATATGGCAGCACTATAATCATTTTCAGACCAGAATTCAACATTTTCTGTTTTAAAATTTAGAAAAATCATACTGTATGTACTCTGGAGTTGGAATGCAAGAATGATGATTAAGCCCTTTGTAGACACGGGACATTCATGCATCTTCATTAGTCTGCTGAAGCGACATCCTGTCCTTCAGACTGTGCACATAGCTGCTTGTGGTCACTTATTGTAGGTGGATGTTGTTTTGTGGCACTGCTTCCATGATGAGCACCTTGGGTGAAGACTTCTAGTTTGTTCTCGGTCTTGCTTTTCTTTTTTTTTTGTTGGTGTTTATTTGTTCTTTTGTTTATTAGTTTGTTTTTTGACACAGTAACGAAGGGGCAGAACCAGACAAGCTTTTGCTTCATTTATTCAGACACGACGGCGGCACGACGAACTGCCGTCAGATTATTGGAAACAAGTGCATGTTTGAAAAAAAGGTTCAGGATTAAGTGCAGACTACGGCTGAGTGACGCGGGGGGAAATATATAATTGCGATTTGTCTGACAGATGCTGCGATTTGATTTGCAGCGTAATCTTTTCAAGTCGAGCTTTAGTTCGACATTCAGCGTGTGATAGATTTAAAACAAGCAGCGGAGCATTACGGCATGAGATACTATCTAAAGCATGACTTGCACAAAAGGAGGAAAGCATGACTTTGCTGAACCACTTACGTGACAGTTTAATTCCTCAGTCAAACACACTATATAACGTGTATCCTAAACGGCAGCAGAAGGTTAGCTTCTTACAGACGATTTAAATCTGAAATTCTGCTCCTGACACTGGAAACTCTGTCTTCAGGCTCAGCATACCTCATAACCCACTAATCTCGCTCCGTGGTGCAGCTCTCTGGTCAGATAAGCTTCTGAGCACCAGGTACCTGTTTCCTAAACCTTTCTCTTCCCTCTCTGCACCACAGATGTCCAACAAAACACTGCTTTAAGAAAACAATCCAAACTAAAAACGTCCATGAACGCTTCATTTGAATCCGTAAGCATTCACACCACCGACATACCCGCTAGAGGAAATAAACACAAATGTTTTTCCAAGTAGTGATTTTCCATGTCTTTTATTTTTTCAACCTGGTTAACGGCAAATTTGATGATAATTTCAGGCATTATTTGAGTGAGTCTATTTGCTCTTTTGCCAAGACGAGGCAACAGCGAAAGCTTTCAGTTCCTCATCTTGTGCTTTTGAGTTTTGACACGAGGACAGCGTGTTCATGATGAAGGACAGCTCAGGAAATTCTGCAGTCCAAAAATACCAGCTCTGTGGTGCTGATTTCCCCCTATAATCCTTGCATATGTGCGAGTGTGATTTATGGGATGGCTAATCCTATATGCTTGTTCAGACGCAGGCTTACGATCGCCATAAACACTTCCGCTTCTTTGGGGTTTTTCCAGGAACGCGGCACAAAATAGCTGAACCTCACACATTTTACATGCAAATATAAATTACCATTTGTTCTGCACACGCCCCTGTGTTTCCCCAATCGCCTGCGAGGATTGCAAATCACGTCCAGCACAGGGCGACTCGTCTCGTTTTAGTGAGCAGCGGCTTCCTTGCATTCAGCGCGGCTGGCAGGGACACACTATGTAGACAATACCTACAGGGGATGCTGAACAATGACCTGATGGAGAAATGACACAATTGTGTACACCTAGGCAATTCACAGCAGATGTGAGTGGGACTCGCACGGGGTTTCGGAGAATCCAGGGAGGCCCGCTGCTGGTGCTGGGGATTTACAGGAAGTCTATAGGGGATTCTGCTTTGTTTTGACATGAATGGGGTCTCTTAAATAGGAAAGCAATGAGACACAATGTATGAGCACAGCATGTAAAACACATGGAACAGAAGGGCCGAGCAACATTTCTATGGAACACAGTAGTTTGTTTGTTTTTTTTTTCTTACACAAATCTGAATATTGGGTCATGGCTCCAGAGAGCGACTGAAAATGTAAAGCAGTTGAAACACACGTGCTGTACTTACAGAACTGGAGGCTCAGACTGAGGATGGCCAGCGCAGCTCCACCCACCACCACCAGGAGGAGGAAGCGGTTACGAGCCAGCATCTTGTCATTTGATTGGTCCGCGTCCCGTCCCGTCAGCCATCCAGACAACGGCCCATCCCTGCAGTCTAGACACAGCGCGGGGCGACAATTTTAGAAGTTGTTTGTTTGCCTCGTAACCTCCGAAACTACTGGTGAGAAGAAGCAGGAGTTCTTCGGGTCTTTTCTCACCAAATACAAATGAAGTTGGCAGCAGCAACATATTTATGTCATTCTGACCAGTCAAACTATGACTAGTAATATCCAGACAAGGCGAGGTTTCCCATCGGACACTGGTTTGGCAAAGCATTTGAACCGTGTCAGCAGAACTAATAGATTGGATCATTGGACAGAGCTCATTAGCGAAGATTTTGTACAGAATGAGAGCTTTGTTCACCACTTGCGGTCAAAAGAGAAGACAGGAAGTTTGTCCTCCGGCTGCTCAGACATGGCGATAAAACACCTTGTCATATGTAGTTACAGTCACAGTACGTTTAAAACACAAAAAAACAAGCCGACTCCATCTCCCATCGGCCGTAGCTTCTGAAGTAACTACAGACATCTGCAACCTAAACTCTAATTGAGGATATCTGTAGTTGCATTCTGACAAGGCAGAACCCCAGTTTGAGATATCTACAACATGATAGCTTAAAAGGACAACATAGGTATGCTGAATTGAAGGGATACCAGACTACAGTTTAAATCTGACCAGTCGTAATTGTAGACATCTGAAAGTGGAAATACAACCAGTCATAAATCAGCTACACAAACATTATAGATATCTGGAGCTTCAACTGTACACACCTGCAATGGGAACAAAAATAAACGGTGCATCATTTGTCCAGGGAAGACTGATGGTATGGATATAATCACAACTGTGGATCAGAAGAAAGTCATTGCGGATATCTGAAATGCTTTTTTTTTTTTTCTAAGATCAGGAAGACTCGAATCAGATCTCTGCGCTGCAAATCCAGGACAAAATGTTATTACAGCTCTATTAAAGCACTACAATCTGGACGCCACAGTATGAGTTCTAGGTTTATGAGAGTTTATTTGCGATGAACATCCGATTCTTGGAAAGTCTGAGTCACACTTCAGTTGTGACTGAAGAAGAAAAAAAAGGGGTTTTTTGTACAAATTCCACTTCCTGATGAACATGTTAAATCAGCACACTGAACTACAACAACTTCCTTCTGAAAGACTTTTCTAAACGATAGGTGATCCTCTATCATCTTCGTCTCACATCTCTCTCCAAACTTCCCTGAAATGAGACATCAATACAACAACACAGCTTTTGCGACTGAAGTTAAAAAAAAAAACACTTCATTAGCTCACAGTGTGATAGAAAGCATCTACAAAAGCACCTCCGAAGTCCTGCAGCGACCACTTCAATTACAGCTCTGTCATCCACACCATTACAGTTCATCATTAACAAACAGCCTCCTCACAGGCAGCTCCTCATACCAAACATTTGTCCAAAGCACCACTTGTTTTCCTGGCACGTGTTCGGTCGGCACGCTTTGCAGTGCGGACAGTCTGTGCAGTAGTGGAAAGCACAACTTGACCTTCAACATCAGAGATAAACTAAATGGACTGAAAGGAAGGAACCTGGAAAAATCAAAACATGGTCAAATACTTTCTACGTCCTCCAACCCCTGGAAGAGTCTCTATGGGTATTACATCCAAAATGAACATATGCAGCCATCAATCTCAAACTGTCACACACATGTTTGATCTTACATTTCCAGTGTCCCTCACGTGTACAGCTCCACGACTCTCTGTGCCATTTTCCACCATAAACCCATGCATGTCCATGAAGACTGTGTGCCAGCGCAGCGGGGTTGGAAACCAGAAACACGGGGGGAGGAACACACTAAAACTGCAGTAAATGTAGCCCTGCACAATAAACCCTACCATTAGGTGCTCTAAAAATATTCCCAGCCCGGGATGGTCTAGCCAAGGTACAGTAAAAACGATGCTTCAGGCGAATATGGTCTCAGTGTGTGCGCTCTGCAACCTGCAGCTTCGGGACGCGCCTCACCAGAGTCCAGTCAAAATGTTGGCAATTTAATGAGGTGTTACCTACCAGTGTAGGAATAATAATAACAATAAACATCTCAATGTTGTTAAGTCTTCTAGGAAACCATCGGTTAGTTCGGCATGCATACAAAAGACATACTAACTTTGATTTGATGGGAAACAGTGTGACAGATTACTGTTGACATAAGGGGGGTGTATTACTGTAGTTAATGAGAGGCCACTTAATATGATATTTAACGTGGAATTCAAATAAAATAACATATCCGAACTGCTCTGGAGTCACCCTTTAGCTCACAGGAAAAACTCAACCGCAGAAACGCCAACCACCGCTCGACGGGAGAACTTGAGTCCGCTCGCGCTGGTTAACTAGTTAGCTAGCAGTTAGCTAGCTCACGCTCATTAATCTTCAGTCTGACAGCCCCGCTCACGGACTTATGAAGCCTCCCGCACACCGACACGGCCAGTGTCACGGATACCGCTGTCACATTAGACTTCCCTCAACTTTATTTCTCTCTACTTGTTGCTTCCATGTGCAGCACTCGGGACAAGCCGCCGTGCCGATGCGTAGCTTTGTGCTGCTATTCACGGGGGGGAGAAGCAACCGAGAAATTAAAATGCCACATCAACAGTCGCACTCGCCGCAAAGGGAAAAAAAGAGAGAAAAAAAAGAAAAGGGTAACCGAACAAACATAAAATGCACACAGCCGAGAAACCTCACATCAACCGCAAATTCCCATTGCCTTGTATTTGTCTTACCTGCAGGAGCTGAGACTCTGGGAGCCGCAGACAACACGGTTAAACACTTGAATCCAGCGCTTCGGTTTCTCCGGTACGACCGACTGTCTACAGAGCGGCGCAGAGCGGCGTCAAGTCACGCGCGATTCACGGCAGCACATCCGGTAGCAACTTTCAAAATATTAACGAGCTTGTCAATACGCTAATTATTACCCTCGAGATATATAATCTATAATATTAAATAAACACTTTGAATGGTTTAAAATCTGAATTAAATTATCATAGAGTGACAGCTGTAGCACACGTAAACTATGTAAAGCGCGTAAGCGCAAAACGATGTGCTTTTAATTTGAAAGTAAATTCGATTGTCTTCCGGTTCTGCTTAAGCTTTCTGTTTGGAATTGACAGCTGTGAAGAGCTGCTGTAGCTGTCTGGGCTGTGGACAATAAAAGCTGCAGAACTCCCAACCTGACTGCGCCATCTACTGGATGAGCTGCAGTAGTGCACATGCTGCCTCCAAGGCCTCTGAAATACATTTTATCTGACACATGAACAAGTCATTATTAGTTTTTTGTCTAAAAATTAATTTTAGACACATGAGTAGCTATGATGTTACTGAATTAGTTGATGGTGAACAATATTTATTCATAATGATTTTAAAATAAAATAAAAGGTTTGTTTTGTTCTGAACAAAATATTTAATCAACATACCTTCCAGGAAACAAACTAAAAAGGAAAGTTTCATAGATCTAGTGGCCAGGAGGGAAATTATGTGGGACGCAGACACTTCCTGACAACACAATGTTTTACAGTGCCTTTCTGTTTTTATGATGTAATGCCTCGCACATTAACTCTGGCAGCCGGAGCCAGGTCAGGGGATTACGCAGTGGGATCCAATGTCATCTGGAACAGAGGAGCAGTTTAAGGGTTGCGCTTCTCTGGGTCAATTAACAAAGTGCATGTAAATTCATGCTCTTGTCTGACTGCAGATGTGAATACATTAAAGAAGATAGCTGCCAAGTGACTGCGTCGTTAGTGATCAGCTCTTTAAAGGCTAAAATATTCATTATGTAGCATCATGCCTGTGCAAAATATGGCAGTTTATTCAAATGCATAGATAGTTATTATAAGTGAAAGCGGAACACATAATGCACAAAAAATAAATTCAATGATAGTGTTAAAAGCAGTGAAAGCTTGACTGGTTGGTTATATATTGGTTATTACAGTTCACAACAGAACAACGAGGCGCCACCACGACTGTTACAAAGCAGTTACGTCAGTCACAGTGATATTTATACACAGATTATATAAAGATACACAAACCCTCAGTCACGTCACCTGCAGGGTTCCTGAACAGAGGTTTTAAAACTCGTCAAGGTGAACCTGATTCCTCCTAACTCCCTGCTAATCCACCAAAGAGCAGAGGTGGAGCAAGCAAACATCTCTGAGCCATGGACCTTTCTGTGACAATGAGTGATGCTTAACTTTAAGCCCCAGTACAAGTCAAACAGATGAGTTATATAATGTCCACAAACTGTAAAGTTAGCATTAAAAGGGGAACTTATGTGTAGAGACCAAAGCTGTTTTTTGTATCAGGCTGTAAATATGTTTATTTCTCCCAAAAGTGGGACATTTTAATATGGGGGTCTATGGGGATTTACTCACGTTTGGAGTCAGCCTCAAGTGGCCATTTGAGGAACTGCATGCCCTTCCCAATTCATTCCTCATTTTTAGCCTAATGCTATGCGTCCACTGGGTCCGGCAGAATCCCGCTTCCTGTTCACTGTGTATGTGAAACACTCTTGTTCTGGAGTGTTGTGGGGCTTTTCCAGCGAAATGTGTCATCCGCAAGCTGCCTGCAGCTCATTTGCATAAAGTAGACTTGACTTCTACTTTATGAAAATGAGGCGCAGGGAGTGGAGATCAGACTTTCATCAAACAGCTAAACTAGCAGTTGAACTAAAATGAGGACAGATTCAACAACTGCATAGCCTATTTCTCGCCTCAAATGTTTTCAGAAATACTTTTCGCTGAACCGTTTTCATAACAAAGGCGAAAGTTTGCTGCCAAGCTGGCATGTTGGTCCACCACTTCTACAGGACTGGTGTCTGGTAAACAGGAAAGCGGCTGTCATGTGACCACCTAGTGGTCCGCTAGTGCAGGCCCATCAAGTCGGTGATATTCAGAAGCAAAGGGGACGATCACCCCAGTCAACATGGAGCTTAAGAGCTGGTCAGTGGCATTTGTAGCATCAAAAAATGTTTAAACCTGCAGTGTGGAACTTTTGTTTCCTCCTTTTAGTGACAAGAGTATTTACATAATTACACAAACGCTGTGGACACGTGCTTATCACATGTCATTGTCAATGATAGCTTTCTTACTCCTGGTAACTGTAGCGTACTCCATCTCCACACTTCTGGTTTCTCTTCATCTTCTGCTCTGGCAAACTGGTTATCGCGTGTTAATGTAAAGCATATCACCACCAGTACAGCAGCTCGGGAAAGTCACCACAGATACGAGAAGATTTAAAAGTAAGTACACATGAACTACAGAGACACTGACCAGGTGCTGATGGACTTAATCAGTATTGTGTGAACACCTTAGGCAAGGATGTGGGGGTTTTTTTGGTAAAGAAAAATTCTGCAGTAGAGCCATAAAAACAAACTTATGAGAAGAAATAACACTTGAACAAACATAAATGTCATAAAACATACTGAATATGACAGACAGCATGTTTGGGAAAAATGTATGAGGTGAAGTTTTTTTTTTCTTTGGCTCATGTCCCATGTGTTCGCGTGTTTTTGACCTACTGCCACCAGCCTCCAGGGGGCGATCAAACACTCTGGCTTCAGATCTGGGGAGCTTTCATGAAGTCCATAGTTTAACAGTCACAGTGCTGCAGGACTGGTTAGAAACTCTTTTTTTGTTGTTGTTTTAACTGTTGCAGTCACTGAAAATGAGCAGCAGTAAAATACTTTGCATCCGATATAAACTCTACATGTAATACTTTATACTGGAGCCAAACATGCGTATTTAACAGTTTCCGTGTGCAATAAAAAATAAGTGATTGCAAAAGGATCATATTTGTTTTATTGCTATCCACTGAAAGCACAGATACCCCCCAGAATGTGTTAGTTTCAACCTTTCATTGTTTAAAAAAAAAAGCAGTTTGCACCACAACATCTTTCATTAAATTCAATAAAGGAATTTTCTTTCACAAAGACGGGAAATTATCTTAAATAAAACAACACTGGAATGAAATATCCGCGTCATTATCTGGATTTTAATTGTGCTACTGACGATTTGATCTGCGTGCCTCTTGGATTTGCTCATGAACTGATTTAATGTCACTGAAAAAGTTCTGAGAAATGAGTCGGGTGGGCCAGACTTAACGGCCCGGTCCTCTCTCGATGACAGCTGACGGTGTCCTGCAGTGCTGCAGTCTGCTTGTCACTAATCAGTGTCATCCTGCCTTCGGCACACCACTGCCTGCTCATGTGGTTAACAAATTCTGCAGAAGGACGCTGACTTTACTCAGCCTCAGTCGAAGCACCGAGACGTGACTCAAAAACGAGTCTGCTCACCTGCTAAGTGAACGCCACGATCCATCCTTCACTTCAACATTTTCATCAGTCAGCTCATTACTGTCTGTGATGTGGAGATGTTTGTTTTATTCCAATTATTTGTTTATTTTAAATAATCCTGACATGTTTGACAGCACATAATAAGCATGTTCTATGACAGTGGAAAGTGCAAATCACACTCTGCTACATATTTTGTTAGCCTCCTTTAAGTTCTAGTGTCGACCACCCCCTGATGGAAACATCTGGTTCTTAAGCAGCGACGTAATTCACTGTTTTTTTTGTCAAGAGCCTGAAAAGAGCATTGATATCACTCTGTCTGTTAAACATAGAACAACACTATGCTTCACATGTCAAACACCAGAAATATGCAAAGTGTTCAGTACAAAATAAATGCCAACACGTAAATGGCAGATCACATATGGATCAGCTGAGCAGCAAACATACATAAAGCATTTGTAAAATAATAATGTCAAGCTTGTGAAATTATCAAAACTCACATCAGTGTTTAACACAATGTTTTTTATTTGATCGTAGATAGTGTTATTAAAAACATCTTCTTTTAAATGTCACCTAATCATTTGGGTGACATTTGGGATTTAGAGGATGACAAGCTTCGTATTGTAGGATTGTTGGCAGGAATTAGCGAGCACGCCACGGACATCCATTTGTTTTTATTTTTCGATCGCACCGTGCAATGTCTAAGTTTGCATACACTTATCTCTTCACTTGAATGGCAAGCAGCTTAACAAACCAAACTCACGATCCTGCCGAGCCGGTTCGCCGGTTAGGCAGGTAGCCGTGGCATATAAAGAGAGACGCTGGTATCGCTGTCTCCATCTAAAGGTGCTATCAGTGTCAGCCCTGGCCTCGCTATTTAATAATAAACATTTTAGTGATACGTGGAAGACAAGGAAGCAGCAGGAAAGCCTGGCTACAACCTTGGAGTGTTGTTTTTGACCCTTGTGTGGCGCTTTTACATAGAAATGGCTCCTTAAACTACCAGAATACAAGCAATGACTTCCTTGTATCTGGCCTGACGCGCTCGATGTAGACTGCCATTAATATAAGCCCGCCATTTTTGCTGTGCATTTCGTACGGCTTTCTCCTTCTCTTCAGCTATTCGTGTTTTAAAATTCCCAACAACAGCCTCTGAAAAAGCTGAAATTTTTGAAAGTTTTGCTGCAGATCTGGGTAAGACAGTCCACTCAGGAGTCTTGGTCACCCTGTAACCATCCAGTACCAGCTGATGATAGCTTAGCAACTTCTGATCTTCTCAGTCATTTTTCACTTTGTCTCCTCCAGAGTTTTATAATGCACATATATAATATGATATTAGATATTTTCATCAGCCTCCACAAACATCAGACAGTCCAGTTCATGTTTGTGAATGCAGTGACTCGTATAAATCGAAGGACTGCACACAGTTTGTGCTGCGACTTGTCCTTTGAAGAAATGACCGGTCATCTGCTGTGGCTCTTGTACCTGCAGAAAAGTCCCAGAACAGGCCAAGGCTGAGT